GCCTGGAATTGAATTTATTACTGTGGCTTAACTCCCAGACAAACAATAGACAGGCCTATGAGCTGGACACCTACACCAGGGAGATGCACTCAATCAACCATGGCAGATCAGAAGGGCAGCATTTGCACAGGGAGAAAAGTAGGGAGGCAGGAATGCAGAGGCAAGAAGCACACAGGGAAAGGGTAACCACAGGGAGGAAGTGGTGATTGTAATCAGTGTCACAAAACAAAATGTACATGAACTGTTGAATCGAAAACAAATTTGCTTTGTAAAATTTTACCCAAATCACAGTAAAAAGGTAAAAACAAAACAAAACAAAACAACACCAAACACTGTAGTTAACAGAAATGTAGTTACACTCTGAAAAAAAAAAAAAAGGTAAGAATAGACTCCATAAGTAGGGCTGTAACACCTACTGTTATGTGCTGCCTTTATCTAGGGGACTTGAGCAGGAGATGGCTTTTCCTCCTCTGTGTGCTTTTTCTTTTTTCTATGAAAACAGACTTGGGAGTTTCAAGACCGCTGGGTGCACTTCTCAGAGTTTATAGAGAGAAAAGACTTAAGTTATGCCTTCTTCTACATCTATCGTGTACGCTGGAGTGTCCCAACTGCTCAGATACCCTTACTGCACGTCTCTGCTTCTGTCTGCTTCACCATCAAGTTCACCAAACGCAAACCTCCGGTAAGCTTGCTTTTCTGTTCTCTCAGTTAGGCTTCAATGAGAATACAGGCTTCTCTTGTCAAGGTCATCAATGACCCATCCCTTCTTCGCTAAAATCAATGGTCATGTTTCTGACCTCATTTTACATGGACCATCTGCAGCACTTGCCATAGCTGATCACTTCCTCCTCGAAGAATTTTCTTTCCATTTGGCTTCTGGAACAACAAACTCCTGGTTTTCCTCCTGCCTCACTGACCACTCCTCTTCTGGTTTCTCCTCCTCTCAACCACCTCTTCAGGTTGGAATGCACCCAAAACTCAGGACTTGGGCCACTTCTCTATGCTCACTTCCATGGTGAGGTTATCTAGTCTTGTGGCTTTAAATATCACCTACAGCTTATGATTCCCAAATTTATACATCTAGCCCAGACTCCTGCCACTTGGATGTTTAATAAACATCTCAAACTTATTTCGGAAACTGAATCTTTGATTTCCCCTTCCAAATCTGACCTACCTGCAGTCTTCCTCATCTCAGTTGATGGTCAAAATCCTTGGCATCATCCTTCACTCTTCTCTTTCTCTCATATCCTTCATCTAATCCATTAGGATATCCTGTTGGTTCTACATTCAAAATATATCTAGAATTCAACCATATCTTACCACTCTGCTTCTATCAGTCTGGTCCAAGATAGTCATCTCTCATCCATATTATTTCAATAGACTCCTAACTAATCTCTCTGCTTCCACCCTTGTCCTCATCATGTCTCTTTTTAATACAGCAGCCAGAGTGAGCCTTGTAAAACAGTTATGTCACTTCTGTGTTTAAAGCTTTCTAACATTTTCTCAGGAGCTCTGGTAGCCTAATGCCTAAGGCACTTGACTGCTAACCAGAAGGCTGGCAGTTCAAACCCACCAGCCACTCCTTGGAAGGAAGATGGGGCAATCTACTTCCGTAG